AAGGTGGGCCTTCGTTCACCCAACTGACTGTCCCCACCTCCTAGGAATTTATAGCAAATGCTCCAGGGACTCTCGCCATGACTCTAGCCTGAGTCACACTCAGAAGTGGGCAGAGCCACTGGAAGGTGGGACCTGCCAAGGGGACAGAAGAGGGCTGAGAGCCAGCTTGGGCTCTACTCACCAGCAGATGGGACATCATTTTGCAAACGTGCAGCCAGAGGGGGCGCCTTCTACTCTTGCACAAAGGTGCCATTCAGGCTACCTGAGGCCCTGGATGAAGGCCCTTTTCGACATTTTGGCTTATGTGAAAAATTCAACTTCAACTGTGCGGCGCCTCTAGGAAGACAGTGATCCGTGCAGCTTCGTGTTCTCTAGATGGGCTCTGATGCTCTGAGGTCCAAGGCTGAGGTTCCTTATCACCGACTCTCAGGCACTCCCCCAGCCGCTTCATTCACAGCCTGCGGTGGCCCACTGGTGCAAGGGGCAGCCTGAGCGCGTGGCCCCCGTAGGGCAGACTCAGAACGGTATATGGAAATGACAAGCATTTGGCCCACGGCTTGGGGGGTTTTGTTTTTAGCAGGCATAGCTGTAGATCTGATCCCCCAATTTGGGGAAAGAAGTTCGCCTGAGACAGAGCTCAGTTATTTATTCCAGGCCTGGCTGTTTATTGTTTCTCAGTGGATGCTGACATGGAGGGGTGAGCCCAACAAACTTGGGATCTTTTGCCACGCTGGGACATGGCTACGCCTCTGAGAGCCCATTCTTAACAAGCTGGCACTCACTTTTCCCAGAGAGCATCCTCCCACAGGACCCTCACATCTCGGGGGGCTGGGCCAAGACCATCTCAGCCCCTGACCCAAGCACAAGGGCAGAGGCCAAGGCAACCTTTCAAAGGATCGCAGATAGAGACATGATGTGCTGGTGGGCACTTGGCTCCAGCGAACCCCCAGCCCCGGGGCTCTTCCCTTTCCCACCGCCCACAGGTCATGACATGTCTGTAGACAAAAGGGCCAGACACTCATAAAACAACTTCTTCCTCAGTCTCACCAACAACGAGACTGTCAGTTTCCAGATATGTGAGCAGCACAGTAAACCTTGCGTGGCTTGGAGCTGTCCGCAGCCAGATTTCCCTAATATATAAAGTGGGGGCTTATTCCACTTTGATGCCCTCCTTCCTGCTCTACCTCCCAGGGCTATGGTAAGGACCAAAGGAAATGCTATAAATGAAAATGCTTTGTAAAGGGCTTTGTAAATGACAGTGTGCTGTTCAGACACTGGTTATGATGATGACGATGATGATTCAATCAGATCTCCCCATCCCCTGGGTGGCAGTGATTGGTAGGGCAGACGTAAACTCAAGCCAGCTAATCAGTCCTTCCCAGGACTTCTCTGTCACAGCTATCGAAGGGGACTGCTGCTTTCTGCTGAGTCTAAGGAGTGCAGAGTCTGGGACTGCAGACGGCCACCTTGCCTGCCCCACAAGGAGAAGAGAGAGGTGGAAAGAGCCTCAGAGCCCTCACTACAATGTTTGAACCCCTGGATGCAGCTATGCCTGAAACCAGGGCAATGCTGAGATCTAACATTACATGAACCAACTTCCCTTCTTTTTTCCTTAGGCTAGTTGGAGTGTATGTCTGACATTTATAACTAAAGGAATTCCAACTATCTCTTGGGTGCATATTAATCATTTATGTATTAGTTTTTTAATCATCAAATAAAGTTTTTAAGGGAAACACTTCGCTAAAGTTTTTTTTTTAAGTTAGTGTACCTATGAGCAGCACGAAGAAGCAGAAAAAGCACTGAACAGAGAAATCAAGCAACGTGGATTCTCTGCTTGTTCCCACAGGAATCGCTGTGTGACTTTGAGTAAGTCTCCTAACCTGCCTGAACCTCATACAATAAGGAATTGGAGCTAATGATGTCTAAGGTATTTTACAGCACGAAATGTCTTCAGTTCCATAAAAGACAATCCAATTAGTCTAATACAAAGTGTTCTTAAGAAAGACTTTGTAGGGCACCTGGGTGGCTCCGTCGTTAAGCGTCTGCCTTCAGCTCAGGTCATGATCCCAGGGTCCTGGGATCGAGTCCTGCATCGGGCTCCCTGCTCAGCGGGAAGCCTGCTTCTCCCTCTCCCACGCTCCCTGCTTGTGTTCCCTCTCTCGCTGTCTCTCTCTCTGTTAAAAAATAAATAAATAAATCTTAAAAAAAGAAAAAAAGACTTTCTCGGGGCACCTGGATGGCACAGTCGGTTAAGCATCTGACTCTTGCTTTCGGCTTGGGTCATGATCTCAGGGTCATGGGATCATGCGAGCAAGCCCCATGTCAGACTCTGAGCTCAGCATGGGGTCTGCTTGAGAGTCTCTCTCCTCTCCCTCTGCCCCTCCTGTTCCTGCTCTCTCTCTCTCAAATAAATAAATAAATCTTAAGAAAAAGACTTTCTATATAAACGTTAAGAATAAAGACTAACAATTTAAAATTAGCGTCAAGCACTTACCAAAAAAAATCTTTTAAACTGTTAAGTTGCATATGAGATGTCCTCCCATTTGAAATTTAATATGAATTCATACATGCATGTGAAAATACTCGTTGCATCTCCAGTTAAATTGGAAAGATTAGAGACAAAAAATGGGAACAACCTGGTTAAAATAGTTGCAGTACATTCATACAATGGAATATTGTGTAACTGTAAAAAAGGAATGAGGAAATTCTTTATATATTGATAGGGCCGATGCCTGAGGCACATTTTTCAATGGAACGGGCAAAACACACGGTGGCCGTGCTATGTCAAAAGACGAGGAAAAGGTCATATGGATGTAATTCTTGGTGTGTGCATAGACAATCTCTTGAAGAATCTCAAGAAACTGGTGCCACTGATGACCTGATGGCCTCTTTGGAGACTAGGTCTTATTTTTCACTATGCATACTATATATGCTTTTTATCCTTGGAATGTCAAAACACGTGACTGTGTTGCTTACTCAAATATTTTTTTAATTTTAATTAAAAGAGTAAGAAAGAGGGGGAAGGGGGTAAAAAAGGGCAAATACTATTACATATGACTTAGGTGATCCTCATGGTTAAACTGAACCCCAACTAGGAATCCCCAAGTACCACTGTGCCTATGTATAGATGGGGAAATATACCCAGAGGGTTCACATACTCCACCATGGAGACACATCCAGCTAGTTGCAGACACTTCACTAATACCCTCCCTTCAAAGTCCACACAGACGACACAGCATGTGGTCAGCCTCCCGCTACAGCCCCTCCTGCAAAGCCCTGGATGGGGTAGAATGAAACTGGTCCAGGTAAAGATCGAGCCAAGGGTTACCTCCTCACTCATCCATGGCACTTTCAAAAGAACAGGATCAATGATTCCAGAACAAAGAAGGAGGAAGTCCCCACCTCCAAAATAAACTGTTCATATCGGTAATTGCTCATGTTTAATAAAGAAACAGAGGTGATGTGGAGTCACGCCATGCGGACTTCTGATCTGGCCACCTGTAAGTCTTTAAAACCAGTGTTTCCAAACTTTAGTGTGCATCGTGGGGAATGCAGTCCTCGGGATATGGTAAAATGCAGACTCTGACTTAGCAGGTCTGGGGTGAGGCCCAAGATTCTGCATCTCTACCAAGCTCCCTGGGGCTGCCTATGCTGCCAGTCAAGACCACACTTTGAGTGTAGTTCTAGAACAACTCCAACCAATATGGGCACCCCTAGCCATGTGTGCACCTGCAATGTGGCCGGTCTGCAATGAGATATGTTAAAAGTGTAAAATATACGCTGGAATTAAAAAACAATACAAAAAAAGAATGTACAATATTTCACTCATCATTTCTATATTGGTTACATGCTAAGATGATAATATTACTGCTGTGTTAGGTTTAATAGAATCTATAATTAAAATTAATTTCGCCTGGTTTTTTTTCCTTTGTTTAATGTGGCTACCAGAAAGTATAAAATGACACATGTGGAGGGCATTATATTTCTACTGGATTATACTGCTCAGGGAGGCTTGGTTCTCCTACCACCTCCGTCTTGGGAAGTTTGGTACAAACTCAGTCACCACCCAGAAGTGTTCGCAAGGGTCTGTAAATTCTGCAGGGCCATCAAGAACGTGGATGCAGCTCATTGAAAAAATCTAGCCTCCACCCATCTCTAACAAATAAAACTTCTCCAATAAGTGAAATCTAGGTTAAAATAAACAATCGAAACAGGCTTAACCATAGAACCATGAGTGAAAGCATCCCAAACAATTGTGAACAGAGATTTTACAGAGAAAATGCAGCCTAAGAAGTCAACACGGAAAGGCATGAGGTAACCTTGCCAGGCAGCCTCCCTTAGTCAGGTCTGCGTTGTTTGGTGACAGTGGGAGCGGACACGTCAGCCCTGCCTTTGTTCCACTTGTCAGCACTGTCCCCACCATCCTGAGTCACCTCCCAGCCCTAGTAGCACCCCTAAAACCAGAGACTCTGAAAGCTGAAGACCCAGGACAATCACTTGGCCTTACTGCAACCCAGACACAGGTCTGAAGGGAGCCATCGAGTCAGAAGTGTTCTAACAGGTCAGTAGTCTAGAAAACTAACCAGTTCCTTCTGCATGGCCACAAAGCACTCAGCATCACCTGGAGGCAAATTTTGAACACAGACTCTCCCATTTCCATGCCCAAGATGGGTTCTATTTTTTACACCTCCTGGGGCCCTGTTGGAAAAGGCATTCCTCCTGGGCCTGCTCCCACTCCTGCCTGCTTGCTTTACTCCACAGGGTGGCAAGAGGGAGACGAGAGGAAAGGGAAGGCACAAAACACCAGAGGGAAGAGATGCTCAGGTGAATACATGGACATGTTTACATAGGAGAACAGGCACAGAGGCACACCTTTGGGCACCATGGGCCAGGTTCACTCTCCCACAAAACTCAGCTCTATAGACAAAGGAGCAAAGCAACCTTGTCCTGGGCCAGCCCAGCCCTCCCCACCACTCCCACCAGCTCCAGAGGGCACTGACCAGGTTTTATTTCCAGCAGCCGAAGTTTAGGATCCTCAGGCGGGTGCAATCGTCTCTTCTTACGCCAGCAGCGGGCAGGGTATGTGTATAGCTGGCCCGGGGCGAGGCCTGTGGACAGAGACAGCATAAAGGTTAAAGGCTCCAGGCTAGAAGGGGCCTTAGAAACCTCCCTGTCCAAGCTTCTCACTCACAGTGAGAGGAAACTGAAGACCAGAAAGGTAGCGTGACTTGTCAAGGTCACACAGCTGGTTGACGGTAGAGCAGAGGCAGTATCTAGGTCATCTGACCCCAGGACCCTTGCCCTGTCTGCTCCACCATGCTGTCTCCATAAGCCCACGACCATCATGACCATGACCAAGACAGTTCTGCTCTCCTGGTCTGGGGAGATCAGAGGGACCTTTTCAGATTCAACCTCACTACAGTGTTTCCAAGGCAGTGGACCTCCAGCTACTACCCATCAATTGCCCCTCTATACAGGTCCAGCTGAAGCAGGTTCTCCACCAGGCAAAGCAGCAGAAGTCAGTCTGCCTACCTACAGATGGTCTGGACTGGGAAGCCTTTCAAGGAAACAGGATCAAGGGTCCAGATCTCCTACCCACTAACTTTCTCCACCCACTGTTAGCTACTGGCATCTCGCTGAAGCCAATGCGAGCCCCAAGAACCTCCAACAGAATATAAGCCTACTCTGGTGACCAGGCTCCTCGGCCAGCAGAGCCAGCATACTTCTACATCCCTGCCCACTTGCCTGGGCCTTACAGAAAGAAATGGGCAAGAGTCCAGTGGCTGGGCTTATATACCAACCACACTGTCTCTCAAGAGTCTCCATTTAGATTTGGCCTTTGGCACCAAAGTTCTACATGAGCATCGTCTGTCATAACAACCACAGATAGATAAATGGGGCATGTGACAACCATTAGACCCATGTGGGAAGGTCACTTCCTAGAGCTAGGACCACAGGGATAGAAAATATGAGGACCCTATTTCCATCAGCTGTCATTTGGGGACCTTTTGCAGAGACAATCTACCAAAGTTTCACTGTTATATATCCATTTCTCCATTTTTCATTTTTACTAGTTATCTACCCATTTATTGGTTTGGGTCCAAAGGAGAGGCAACTATTCCAGTACTAAAGGAAGCAAAATTGTCAAATTCTCTTTAAGTGCTAAGTTTCATTTTTAATCACATAGGTGCTCCCACAGGTTGCAAGGCTATGAAGAAGTTGGAGGTCCCTACCCCTCCCTTATTTGGGTTCTCAGAAACCATTAAGGATCATGGATCCTAGAGGCTCCAGAAAAATCTCTGATGTCATGAGCTAAGGGCTTTTCATGTCCAAGAGTCATCCTAATACTTAATTTTGTTGATAGCTTCATAGCTTCTGCACAGTAGGAGGATCCCAAAGCTCTGAGCTCCCTGTGCTCTAAGGACCAGCCTTGTGGTTGATTTGGAGAAGACCAAATGAATCAAAGTAATATTGCTCTCCCTTCCATGGAAGGTCCCAGTTTTGATCTCTCTTTGAGGGAAGGCATCACTGGGAATAGTTTGATGTTTCTGGTGTGATTCACTCCAGGACCATGTCATCTCTGACCCTAGAATTCCTGAATGGCTGCATTGATTCTGGTTCCTTGAAACACCTCTGAGGCTGGTATGCCCCAGGATCCCAACAGAGGCCAAGTACAAGGGCTGACCCAGTACTCTACAACCCAGAACCAGCCCCACAAATCCCCACTCATCTTGGGTTAGTGATTCTTATTCCAGACTGAACCCAAAAATCCAGACTGAACCTGGAGAACTTCTTAATAACATCAAGGCCAAAAATTCATGCCCAAACTACCCAATCTGAATGTAATGGGTGGAGGAATTAGGCCAACTATTTTTTAAAGAACCTTATAGATTGTTGCAATGTCTGGCCAAGAACCCTGGATGTCTAAGCGTCATCTAGTTACTGCCTGGATATTCTCTCTAATGTATCAAGATTGGTTTCATGGCCTTCCCCAAAGGCATCTCAAGGTTCCAGTGTTTCCCCCAAAATGTTGTCATTAATTTCCTGCTCATTATAAGGCCCAGGATGACAGGGAACTATGTCCATCTCTAGTATCCCTAAAACTTGGCACAGTGCCTGGTAGGCATATCAAGAAATAGTTACCAAATGAATTCAACAGAACTGAATCAGATTCAGAAATGCAGGAAGCGAATGACCTGCTATACCTGGTTCCAGGATGCTCATCCACCCACATCCAAACCAGCCAAGAGGGACCCCAGAGGTGGGGCCGAGAGTGAGTACAGAATCCACCCCAAGATGGCAGTCTCTGTGCCTTAGTCTCCTTCTGGCCCCACAGACTGCTTCATAGTATTTCCAACCTGACCAAGAGCAGGTGAGTAAGAAAGGACTGGTCCAGACAGTACTCAAAAGATCTAAATGACAAGAGGTCAAAACTGTCAACACTTGCCCAGGGCCTCTGCCCTCCCTGAGACCTGGTCACTGCACTTGTTGGTCAGCAGCATCAGTGCAGCCTTGGGCTGTTCAGTTTATAGCTGCAGACCCACTCACCCACCCACTTGGTAGTAGGTAGTTTGAATGGCCAGAAGAAGGGACTGTTTTTATATCATTCTTTAACTTTCTCTGATGGATTACAGAAGGCCCCCGGTGCAAAGGAAGAGCACATGAGTCCTCATACCACCACTCCTATAATCTTCGAAATATCACCACACATTTCTGAGCCTGTCTCCTTACCCAGAAGATAAGAATGTTAACAATACCTACCTTACAGGGGCTGTTGCGGAGATTAGCTTATATTCAAGAAGAAGCTCTTTATAATCATGAAGCCTTGTGCAAATGTCAGTTATTAATTATCATGAGTTGGCTAACTTAGATGAGTCTGGACTCGACAGCCATGTGGCATGACAAGGCTGCCACCCTGCATGCCCATGTTGCTCTTTGCTCCTTTAGCCATGAGGGTAGACACAGGCCTCTCTTTGATGTCTGCCTTGACTCCACCTCATCTCAACAAGCAAATGGCCCAAGAACTCTCTCGGGGCTCCAGCCCCCCTTCCTTACCCTCCTCCCTAGGCTGACAAGCACCAGGGTGCCTTTATAGGGCCAACACATTCAGCCCCAGAGTTCCACTTATAGAGGGACGAGCAGAGTCCCGTGAGAGTTATGTTGTTTATCTCATTAGAACAGGAGGCACATAACTCAAAGCCTGTGTGTGTGGTAGATGGAGGAGGGAGGAAAGCAGGGCGGGGCGGGCCCCACAGCTGCAGACAGGGAAATTAACCTGAAGGAGTGAGCCTGGGGCTAGGGGGACTGGGGAGGAGGGGGGAAAGGAGGCAGGACAAGTGGGGGGGGGACTAGTCTTCCCTGGTAACCAAGGCCACAGCTACCCGTCCATGCACATACCTCACTAAGCAAACTGCTTTTCTGTCACTTTGAGCTGCAACTCCAGCTATACCACTCGTACTCAGGCGCCAACACAGGCATCTCACACACACACACACACACACACACACACACACACACAGGAACTCACACACTGGCTGGAGGGACAGCTGTCTCCACAGAAAAAAAACAGCAGGATGGGCTTTGATGCCTGGATGGTCAACAGACTCCAGACAAGTCGCTCGTTACCAGCATTGACCAAATCACCAGGTGGATCCTAAGTGTCAGCATTACTTCTGACAGACACAGCATACGCTATTAAGAATTCAGAAGAAGTGGGATAGAAAAGAGAAGGAAGGATGATAGGGGATAGGAACAGGGTTTAAAAAGAAGAAAAGAACTGAAGTAACTTCCTCTTCCCCCAGCCAGAGTTGAGCGGTGGCAGCTCAAGCCCACCCTGCTGCATCTCAGAGAGGTGGGCCAGCAGCTGCCACTGAACATGCCCTGCAATGGAAACCTCACTATTTCACAGGACAGACTGCCTGTGGTTTGTCAACTCTTATTGTGATAAACAGTTTTGCTTCACCCCTATTTTGAATCAAAATCTACCTTCCTGTAACTTATGCCAATTTGTCCACTCTCTGTCCCCAGGGTGGACAGGTGTCACCTGTATCCCAACCATCTGTCCCATCCACCCACTTGGTTTTGAAGGACAGCCAACAAGAGGCCGAGGAACTGGAGGAGATGGGAGTTACAGGAAAGAGGCAGTGACCACACCTGCTCAGAATAGGGGTAACAGGATTCAAGTTTCCAAATTAAGAATCCAAACACTGCTTCCCTTTCATCATCTCCCCCTTGCCCACCCCTTACTGGACAGGAAAGGGATGGAACAGCGGGCTGCTCTTCAGACCATCACTGCCATTAAAGAGCTCCTCTGCATGTTGTTCCAACCACGTGCCTCCACAATGGGTCACCAATAGCCCCCATATTTATAAACAGATAATGATACAAGCCAGGGGTTCTTCCCCAAGACTGGGCATCAGAACTGCATAAGTAGTTATTGAAAAGGGCAGATGCCTGGACTCCAGCCCAATCCTACTAAACCAGAACATCAGAGATAACCAAGGCGATTGTTGTTTGAAAAACACCTACATAAGGATGCTATTAGATCAACTCTTACTCATATTTATATTCCCAGGGCCCAGGACATAACAGGTGCTCCATTAATGTTTGCGGTTGAAAACACCAATTTGGACCAACTCTACAGAGCTGGAGGGATGAGCGATAAGTCCAGAGGCAGGGCTTGAGGAGTGGGCAAGATGTATTTCAGAAGCACTTACACCCATGATATTTCCTGGTTCTCGGCCCTCCCCGCTTCTCTTGGCTTATTTAAAAGTTGTCCTGACTTTGTGGACCACCTATTCAGTGAAGCCCCCCTCAACCATCCCAGGCCTCAGTACCTTTTCTTTTCCCTGAAAGCCTGAAGTCCTGGGCACTAGGCACCACACCCCAGACCTCAGCACAGCTCTCTATCTGGCTCACCAACCATCCCCTCCAACCACCCTTCCCACTCTTCTCCATAAGCTAGCTTCCCTCTCTAACATTCAATTCTAATGTCCCATGTACCAAGACAATCCTGGTAAGGTAGGCCTCAAATCCAGTATGCTTCCTGCCCCTTCTGGCCCAGAGCTTCCCAAGCCCCTCACTGGTCCCACCATGCTCAAAAACTGAC